GAGCATTTTTCTTCTATGTTTGGAATGTATTTACAAATAATAGAGTTTAATGGGTAAAATGTATGTAAGATTTTAAAGGAAAGTTCTTTAGCTTTGTTGGACAAGACAAATTTGCAGGGCAAAGTAAAAACAGTGTTCCATGTTCTTCCATCAAGAGTCTGGTGTGTCCATTTATGTTTAACAGCTGTTTATAACAGCTGTTGTTCTTGGAATGAGGGAGTTTCTTATAAAGATGTTGTTGAATCTTTTATCAAAGATAGAAGTGCCATTAACAGTGATATCTAAATTGATAGAGTTGTGTGTGCTAAACAGAGAATGCCAGATGGAAATGGCCCTAAGTACATTTTTGTCCTTTTACGTTTTTATTTTCAAGCCAATTTGGCTGTGTTGAATGAATGTAGCTCAAACTTTCCAAATTTTTTTTCTTTTAAATTTAAAATTGAGGTCTCACTTCCTTAGATTGGCCTAAAATGGCTAAGAAAAAAAAATCCATCCAAATACCTCCCTCCAGACATTTTTTGCCCCATTGAAACCCACGTCGATGCCATATTTATCCTACAATAAAGCAATGCAGTGCACTCTGTTCCACTGTTTTTTGCAAGGGTGACGTGTTAATAATGACAGGATTTGATAAAGTGCAAATCAGTTTTGATGTTATATTGATCCAGTGTACACTCTGTGTGTTTGTGCAAATTCGCGTGCATGTATGGGTTGAAACATGAGCCGAGTAGATCCTCCTATGCGTGAACAGACTTGTAAATTCAGAAATGCACAGCCATGCATAGACTCCCTCCATATTACATCAATAATGAGACACACTTTATATATCATTTTCATAAGTAGGAGCACCCACTCGGCTCATGTTTCAACCCATACAGTGTGCATGAGGAAAGCGCTGCAGACAGTGGCTGAGCAGAGCTGATCCTGGACCAGTGGCCATTTTGTCACTCAGTTCTCACAAAATAGTTCATATAACAAAGAGTGTGACCTTGTAAGAAAAAGGAGTCATGAATTTGGTCACACACAAACCTATTTCGTTCATTTTATGCCATTAGAACAGCTTCGCGTGTGTGTGCAATCACGTGCGCACGTGAAAGCTTTTTTAGCATCAGGAGTCTATATCACTTTATCGTAAGATTGAAGGCCTTTTCCATGAATCAGTGCACTGAGTGGGGCCTCCAGTCCGACATAATGCTGGAGGAAATTCCTACAATAGGAGCACATGCCTAGAAAGGACATCATTTGCCTTTTTGTGAGTAGTTTTGGCAGCTGTTGGATAGCTTTAGAATGCTACTGTGAAAAGCATACCATAGACCCAGCTGGGGGGGTCGGGGGACCCCCGACCAAGACGGACTCTGACTGACTGGACCTTGTAACCAAGACTGACTGGCGCTGTGATAATCTTCTTATTAATACTTTATCTATCACATTGCAGGAGGAGTGACTCTGTTCTGTTTCCCTAACTACCAGATGGCTTAGTTAACTACTACTCTGTTCAGAATAATTGTAATATTAAATGATTACTTAAATTGGGATGGTTTGTCTGAATTGATCTAGTCTGTATCACACTCTAGCCATGAAATTAATTTAAGCAGGAAATATTGTGCAATGTTGCTCAGAAAGTTAAATCATTAAAATATACTCAGTTTGGCTGAGAAAAGACATTTTTCATAGTAGTTCACAAAAAATCGTTCATTGGTTTCACACATAACTGTTGTGAACGTTGTCTGTAAAATGTGCAATCCAGTCATTGTGGACAGAAACCAGACAATGTGCAAAAGAAGCTATATGCACAGCCAGCTAAAATAACATTTTCTTTTTATATTAACATCTCATTGTGTCTACAGATTTCCAATACTGAAAGATGCCACGTTGCAGGATTCCTTCCTGAATAAATTAAGTCCTCCTGAAGGGAAATCAATCGACTTCACTATGTGAAGGTGTTTATTAGGGTGAAACCAGAGATGGGATCCCAGTGAGGAGATTGTCCTGTAAAACTGGCAGGCTCCAGACTGTCAGGATTGGCAAAAGGGCTTCAGCCAGCATTGTTACGAACACTGGCGCCCCACAGGGATGTGTCCTCAGGTCCATCCTCTACATCCTGTTTACCCACAACTGTGTCGCCTCCCACAAACACATCATCGTCCTGAAGTTCGCGGACGACACCGCAGTGATAGGTCACATCATTGATGGGGACGAAGCAGCCTACAGGAGGGAGGTGGCCGGTCTGGTGTCATGGTGCAAGGACAATAATCTCAGCCTCAACACGGACAAGACGGAGGAGATGATAGTGGACATGAGGAAGGGGAGAAGATCTCATCGGCCACTGTTCATCCAGGGGCTCAAAGTAGAGAGGGTGAGCAGCTTCAAATACCTGGGGTTCACATCAGTGAGGACCTCACTTGGACACATAACACCACACAGCTGGTCAAGCAGGCCCAAAGGCGGCTGTACTTCCTGAGGAGGTTTGGCATGTTGCCAAGGATCCTCAGCAATTCTACAGCTGCATCGTCGAGAGCATCTTGACCAGCTGCATCATTGTCTGGTATGGCAGCACTACTGCTATAGACCGTAAGTGCCTGCAGAGAGTGGTAAAGACTGCTGAGAAGATCACCAGGACTCCACTTCCCTCTCTGCAGAGCATTTACCACCGCAGAAGAGCTGCCTCCATGCTCAAGGACCCCACCCACCCCCAGCACGGACTGTTCACACCTCTACTGTCTGTTCACATGCATAATTGCACATTCGCTGCTCCTATGTAGCATACAATCTGTTATTATATTGTAATATATTTTTATTATATCTCTTCATTTGCTGCTTAAAAGTGCCTTAGATTTTGTGTTACTTATATATCTACTTTATATTTCACTGGTGTGGCATTCATGTGGACAGCAAATTTTTTTTTGACGCAGGTGACGTCACTTCCTTAAGCCCCACTCGCGGCATTATTTAGAAGACGACAACAAACAAAGTTAAGTCAGAGAAAGGGACCGATGGCCAGCCAGCCGGGGTTCGTCATTGGGAGAAAAATAAGAAACGACATTTGAAAAACTTTCATTACATAGAAGTGGAAACGAAAAACAATGTTATGGAAAAAGATGGGGAAAAAATGTGGCCACAAAATCACACAAAATGTGTATTGGATGTATTCTTGAGTCTATAAGGTAACAATAATATAATAAGATAACCTTGTTTGAAATGGGTTTGGCTAAAAGAAACTTTTGGTTTCCTCTATACTGCTAGGTACTTATAGTATATTGACTGGGTTAAATAGAATTGCATTACTAAAAAGAGATTAAAATACAATTTTCATTGACTAAAACTAGACTAAATGCCATCAGTTTTCATCGACTAAAACTAGACTAAAAAGAGTATGAATGTGACTCAAACTAATAAAAACTAAAATGACAGCTTCACCCAAAGACTAGACTACAACTAAAATTAAAACAAGCCGCCAAAAAACAACTCTAATTAGAACCCCTACAGCCGATCCTATCCTTCACCCTTATTATGATACAATCACACTCAGCTGGTGATCAGTATGACTTTGACTCATGCTTAGCTGTCCATGTGAACAGCATTGCAATCTACATAAAAGTCACGTTCAGCTTTCCCCGTTTTTTAGGGGTGACCACACGACTCCTCAAACTGACGACTAGCATGTTGACAATTCGCGCAACCTGTACTCGAGGTGATCGCGCCGCGGGAAGAGCGCTGCGCCTTAACCACTAGCCTACTAGACTAGATGACCAGGTCTCTTGACACCGCTGACAATGCCAGCGAGACATTCAGAGGCAGATGGTATCTGAGAGTGGATTCCTCCTTTGGAAACGAAATAAGTGTTACGTCCGTAACCCGGGCCGTCCCCAGCACATTGTCAGCTGGCACATGGGAGTGCATTCCAGGCGGAGAGGCACACCTGCTCCCAATGATTAGATAAGTACTGAAGGAAAGCGTTGGCGTGTCCTCGTCCCCAGATGATCTCTGGTAATCCTGGCGGTAACGTTGATTTGAGCTCTTGTCAGGATTCTATGTGATTGAACCGCTTTTCTGTTATTGAGCCTGACCTTATGTTTTTGCATTGTATGACCTCCATGACACAAACATTTGTAATGTAACTAAACTACTTGTGTAACCTGGGTTAACAGAGCCCTGGTTGAATAAAGGCCTGTTAGTAAAAGTGGCTTTGAATACAAACGAGAAGGTCAGTGGATAAATGTGCATTAAAAAAACACTACAATGTTATTTATTATTTCATGGTGTTATATTTTATTTGGGTTAAAAAAACATGTTAAAAAGTGTAAATTCATTGGGTTCAATTGTAATTTATGTTTTGAAATAGATGTCATCTAGACTTTTATTTTGAAAAGGCACGCTGCTGCCGAGAGCCATGTGACTAGTAACAGCCAACCATGTCGCGGTGACCTCTCTGGTTCAAGAGGAGGAAGATGCAGAGGCAGGTGTGACTTTAGCTGTTATAGAAGCTGTTTTTCATATCCTGAAAAAAATAAGTATTTTTGTTTATCCAACCGGTTGCTGTTACAGAGGTTTTTTTACATTGCTGAACAGGACTTGGTGAGTGACGAAAATGTATTTTATTTCTCATACAAGTAATATTATTGCAATATGTTATTCTTTTCATGGAAATAGAAAGCTAAGGTAGTGAATTTGCGTTCTATGTTAAAATTGTGAATATTATGGTGCATTTTGAGGCTAATTGAGGTACTTGCAAAAGTCA